AACACAAGACTTCTTATTTTTCATTCTCAACATCATCTGGGCATCTCTGTCTCCCATCCAGATTTTTACTCCGCAAGAACTCACACAAGCATCCAGACTACTTGCTATCTTGACCTGTTTCTTCCAGGTTTCTTCCTCAGCTCAAAAAGGATTCTCACTTTTCTCCCTGTATGGTGCAAAAGCTGCTCATAAATGATCATAAACACTCACCAAGTATGTAGTTTAAATAATAATATTCGCTGAGTTCACCAAACTTAACTTTAAGAAGGAGGGAACTTAAAATTTGAACTCAGAGAATAATTTCTTTTACTTGTTGAGAATTCATTTCCCTTTATTCTCTGTTTCCCTACCCATATTAAGCCTCCATGTTAGGCTTATATCAACTACACATTAAAAATAACTGGCAAGAAGGAAGAACACAATATGTTGGATAATGTTTCAAAGTAGTATTCTTCTAAATTGTCTTTGGCTTGAATGCTTCTCTTGTTTCTCTGCATTTTTCCACATTGTCAATATTGGTGTTAATCAAGATTTTAACAATGAATAGCTTCTGCTATTTCTTTTATTTAGAGCTAAAGATAGCTTTATATTGTAATTTTTCATGTCTTTGGGGGTCATTTGCCCTTTTGAGATTTTTTGAAAACTGAAACATTTTTCCCAAGAATAAAATATGTATATATATTTTTTTCATTATCCAAAGAAGTTCATAAAGTTCCTTAAGCCTGTTCATGAGTCCATGAAGAATACAATGACTTGATTAGACTTCTTGTCTATATTGTTCATTGCTACATTCCCAGAGCCCACAAAAGCACCTACCACAAAGATATTCAGTCAGTTCTTCAGTTAAATATATAAAAAATTTATATCTGTAACTCTCAGCACTCTCCTGAATTATATCCTAACTGCTGTTCTGATGTAATATCAAGGTCATAAGCTTAGAATGTCCAAACTAAAAGCATTATCCTTCACCTCTGTTACCTTTTAAAACAGCGGTCCTTGCTCTCCTCTGAGTTTATTCTGACTCTACTTGCACCCTCTTTGACTTTCTCCTCTCCTTTACATTCTGTTGGATTTCAAGGCATCAGATTTTGTTTCCACAATATCTCCTTACTTCCTGCAGCCTTTTGCCACTATGTGAAGAGGCTACTTTTGAGGAATCTTCCCAGTTCAAAATGACACTTTGCCTTCAATCTTTCACTCCCAGGATGGGTTTCAGTGTATGCCCTGCCCTAATGTTGATAGAACATCTGATCAAAAATGGATCAATCACATTCTTCCCTTCCAGAATTTGGGATTAGAACTAAAGAATTCTAACTTACTTTAGGTAATTTTTTAAAATATAAGTTATATAAAGAATACAGAGCTCTGAGACATCCTCTTTCAATCAAGTGAACACTAAAAATAAAGTAGATATGCTGAGAGTAAAGAGAAAAAGAATCATTCAGAGAGAAGAGCCAACAAGTATCCCTGGTTCCCCTGACATTCCAGCTCTAGGTTCCTTTCTATTCCTGAAGTCTGACTGTATTCCTAAGTACTGTACGACATCCTTTGATCTCAATTCTATTGTTTTTTTGGTAAAATGCACCTAATCTGACATTTACCATCTTAGCCATTTTTAAGTGTACAGATCCTTGTATTAAGTTCATTCATAATGTGCAGTTATTGTTACCTATCACCTTCATAGCTCTTCCTCTTGTGAAACTGAAACTCTACCTATTCAACAACAACTCCCCATTTCCCTCTTCGCCTCAACCTTTGGCAGCTACCATTCCATTTCTGTCCCTATGGATTTGACTAGTCTAAGTAGTTCATATAAGTGGAATCAGCATTTGTCTTTTCATGATAGGCTTAGTTCACTTAGCTTAATGCCCTCACAGTTCATTAACATTGTAGCATATGTATATGTTAAGCAGGTTTCCTTCCTTTCTTTTTTCTTTTTTTTTTTCTTTTTTGTGGTGGTGCTGAGGATTAAACCCAAGGTCTCCCGCATGCTATGCCAATGCAGTGCAACTGAACTATATAGACTCAGCCCAGATTTACTTTTTTTTTAGGTTGATTAATATTCCTTTGTATGTGTATACTCAATTTTCCTTATTCATTCATCAGTGGACACTTTAATTATTTTCATGTTTTAACTATTACAAATAATGTTGCTGTAATCATGAATGTACAAATATCTTTTGTACAAATGTACAAATATCTTTACAAAGACTCTTTCCAGTTCTTTAGGGTATACACACAGCAAAATTGATGCATCCTATGATAGTTCTATTTTATATTTTGTGAGGAGCCACTACACCACTTTCCACAGTGGTTGTAACACTGTACATTCCTACCCACAATGTAAAATTGTTTCAATTTCTTTACATCCTTGACAACATTTGTTATTTTCTGTGTTTTTTTGGTGGTAGCCATCCTAATGGGTATCATTATATAATCTTGGTTTGCATTTTCTAATGGTCAATGACATTGAGTATCTTTTCATGGGATCAGTTGCCATTTGTATATCTTCTTGGATAAATATCTTTTCAAGTCCTTTGCCCATTTTGACGTGGGTTCTTTTTTGTTGTTGTATCCATATCCCCATGGATATTAGTCCCGTATCAGCTGTATGACTTGTGAATATTTTCTTCCATTCTGTGGGATGCTTTTTTTACCCTGTTGATATTGTCTTTTGATGCAGAGAGAAGCATCCATTCATTCCATCTATTTTCTCTATTTTCCCCTTTGTTGCCTGTTCCTTTGCCAGTGTACAAAAAAAAAAAATCATTGACTGATCCAATGTTGTAAAGTTTTGTGCTGTTTTCTTCTAAAAGTTTTATAGTTTTAAGTCTTACATTATAGGTTCTTGATCCATTTTGAGTTCATATGTGCTTATCGTGTTAGTTAAGGTCCCTACTTCCTTCTTTTGCGTGTGGATATCCAGTTTTCTCAGTACTATTTGTTGAGAAGGTGCCCTTTCTTCATTAAATGATTTCAGTAACCTTGCCAAAAATCATTGACATACACAAAGTTTATTTCTGGTCTCTCTCTTCTGTTACATTGATCTATATATCTGTCTTTGTTTCAGTATCATAGTATTTTGATTATCATAACTTTGTAGAAAGTTTTGAAATGAGAAAATTTGAGTTAGACCTCTTATCTATATTGAACAGAGTCTTCAGGGTCTGTTCTTCTTTTTCAAGATTGTTTTTCTTATCAAGACTAAGATGTCTCTTTTTTATTCTTATACCATTTAAATAAATTTCCTTGATTTCTTTGTTTGCTTTCTCTATTTTAATGCATTCTGTTATTTTGGGGACCACGTGTTGAAATGGAATCTGACTTGCCTCAGTTTTAACTAAAGCAAGATAACAGACACTGTATTTGATTTTTAGCAGTTGAGAGAGAAACCTGTTACATCTGTAAGCTATTGGCCAGCTTCTGAACTCCCTCACACACGAGGCTATAAAAGAGAAAAGTGGAGAGCCAGTGAGAATTTATAAGAGAATTTATTTGTAAGGACTCCAAAACTACCTTGGGGCTCTTAATTTGTGACCCTAAGTCTTGTGAAGTCTCAATTGAGACAGCTGTGTTTTAAAAGGGGATTCTGTCCACGAGAGAAACCTGAGGACATTATAACATGCTTCGGGGAGGGGAAATCAAGAGTAGACAGAGAAAAGGCACTGCCATATCAAGAGCATAAAGGCTAGCTGCAGCTCAACAACAAATTTTGTGATTTGAAACAATGGCAACCACTGGACTTTCTGTTCTTGATTATTTTCCTCTCTCTTTCCCAGTGTAATATCTTATGGTCATTGAAACAATAGGCTAGTAAGTGAAGACCTGGTTTTTGCCAATGAATTGGCTCCCACCACCTGGCCAAAATGTCTTTATGGGAGGTACTTGAGGAAGGTGTGACACCCTAGTCTTATCTCCTGTGAAAGCAAACTCTGGTCAGAACTTAGCTACATAATCACATCTATCACAATGGAGACTGGGAATATTGACTAGCTGGGCTGCTATTTGATCAGCTCATTATTCATAGTTCTTTTGCTAATAAAGAAGAGGAGAGCAAATAAAGAGGGTAACTGATAATCATATCCATAACTCTCTGACTAACTCAATTGACCCTCTATACTACTGGGTGATTATTCTTCCTATGCCACAATTTTATCATTTCATCTATCTTCTCAAAGAGTTTCAATAATCTTTACTTACTATTCAGTAAAACATTAAAACCTATTTTTAAGGTCAAAGTTCAAACTTAACTACCCTTAAAAATAGTTTTTAATGTTTTATTAGACAGATATAGTATAGTTTAATTATTCATAGTTCTATTCTTGAAAATTTATATTGTTTACTTTGATATTATGAGTAATATTGCCTTAATATCCTAGTCAACATGACTGTGTTAGTCACCTATAAAAAGGGCATTTGAAAAATTTTATTTGTTATCTCAGATAACAAATAAAATATGCTTAACATAAAACATAAATATGTTTATTAAATATTTGCTAGTGACTAACAGATGGACTAACTCTCCCATGGAAAATAAGCTATGAGTTTCAGGTCTATAAAATAAGCTCAAATAATCAGGCAAATTCTCAGGTTTATGAATTAAGTTTAAATAATTAAGTAATTCTAACAGTTATTTTCCAAGGGTTTTAGAAACCTAATTTTTAATTGTACATGTTATGAGGACTTTAAAAAGAAAAAAGTGATTAATGCCCTTATAAAATAACATTCTTGATTATAGAACAATCTTCCATTCCCTTTGTCTTCTCATCTACTCTAGGGAACAACTGGCAGACTTAAGGTCCAATTTTCTTTGGTACTCCAAATCATTCCTGGCACTTTGTATTCTGAAAGCATAAAAAATGAAGCTGAAAGAAAAAGTAAAAGCATAAAGAGTCTGCATACTTAAATTCAGTTGTGTTAGTTCAGGCAATGCCAGCTGCTATAACAAATAAAACCCCAGAAACCAATGGCCTACCAGAAAATAAAACTTAATTTCTTACTCAGGTGATAGTTCAATGTTGGTCTTCATGTTTTGGAAGTTGGTTGTAGATGGTCATAGGCTGGCAGAGACTGTTGTCTTCAACAAGTGGCTTTCAATTTCATCCTGAGAACTAATATGTAGTTGGTAGAAAAGGATAGAATATTAATGAAGAAGGCACACCAACTTTTTGATGACCATGATCTAGAAAGAACTAGTTGCATAGCTCTATTTAGATAAAAGAGGTACTGAAATAAATATGTAGTCCCTTCACAGAAACAAACCTAGATCAAGGAAAAGAGCTCAAATTTTTGGAAGGCAAACACTTATCACCATTAATTAAGTAATAAATTAAAATTATTTGAGATCTGAATATATAGTATATATGTGGAGAGGAAGGGACCTAGGAAGGCTGCATTGTTGGTCCTGATCATTCTACTTCTCTACCCACCGAAATAGTGCTGATATGTTCTTTATTTTCATTAATACTTACTAAGATTCTCAGGAATAGCCTCTCTCTTTTACTTAATGTTTAGACTTGGAATAAATGAAAGTGCAGATAATTTATGAATTTCTAATTTTCTGAACTCAAATCATCACTGTAAAGTGAAAAAGAGCCTGGGCTTTTGGATCACACAGATTTGGGCTTAAATTCCTGAGAGCAAACTGCTATGCATTTTTGGTGCAAATAATTTCACATCTCGAAGTCTCCTTTGTTCACTGTAAAATAGAAATGAGCATTTTGCTGACATGGGACAAAAAAAATACATAATGCTTAGTTTCAGCCTATCTGGCCTCTTTACAGGCTGTCTCCCAACCTTTCTGGATATGCTAGGCAATCTTACATAATATTACAAATTTATCTTACTATTTCATTCTCCATATCCATTCTATAACTGGCCCCATGTTCTTTTCTTCTCCCCTTCTTGTAACTGAATCATTCATTCTGCTCTTTTAATCAAATCGTTTGGGTCAATGCCAGATCTAACTTCTCTCTGCTTATAAAATCTTGCCTCATCATCTGAGTTTGCTTTTATCTCTGTTTTAGCCAAATTCACTCATGTTCTCCTCTGAGTAATTGTCCTCTCATCTTAACCTGGACACCGGAATTCCCTTTCTTATATTTGCCCATCAAATTCCTTCTTGAATTTCTCCACTGGTTTCATTGAGCAAACCAATAGATACTTACTCTCTTGGTCCAATTAAATCCCAAAGGCTCTAAAACAATTGTCCTACTCTCTGCTGCATCCCATGCATACGCTTCTCTTATTGTCTGCAGAGAATCACTTACTAGACTGTACACGTCAGTCTCTCATACTTCGCTAAAGGTTCTAGGAAGGGAATTCATTGAGAGCCCTTCTTGCATTTTGCTTTGAAACGGTCATTTCTTGCTCAAATCATCACACTATAATCTTGGCCTCAGAGAAGGCTGATGTAATATCAACTTTCACGTCACCATAGTTTTTGGTTGCTTTACAATGCGGGTAAACAATAGTATTGTTATCTTAGATACAGGGACAAATCTCAGCATATGGCCAGCTTTCTCTCTTCCCTGAATTCCACTTTTTCTTTTTTTCATTCCCCAACTGCAGTGGGAGAGAATGTGCCTCAGAATATGAACTGTGCTCACAATCATTTCTTGGGCTTGACCGGGCACTCCTCACTTTTATCTCCTAGCCTCACTTTAACCACAACAGGTTTCCAATGAGAATGCTGACTTCCATCTGGAGGCACAAATAGAATGAGTGGGAAATGAGGTAACAGCAAGTGAATATGTGTATAGCAAACACATGTTATTTTTGTCTAGCCAGCAATCAAACCCCTATTTCATTTTAAGTAACTCCCTTCTTCTATGTATGTGCTTTGGTGAGAGGTCAGGACACTAGTCTAGAAGTTTCTTCTCTAACAACCAGGTATCTTGGGCAAGTGACCAAGAATTGACAAATCAGATGCTCCCACCTGACACTTTTGATTTTGAATGACCTCAAGGAGTCCAAAATATTTGCAAAGTTGTGGTCAGTAGCATGAATGGAAGAGCAATGGCAGAAGCTGCTGCTGGCCACAAGGGTCCAGGGACCATAAATACCAGTGCCCTAACCAACCCCTTCCTTTAGCATGACAAGTATAGATAATATTTTTGAAAGCTAGATTTCTAACTTTACTGTTTTTAGTAAGCTACTTCCCAATAAATTTCTATCTACACTTGCCAGAGCAAATTTTTATAATCAAGAACCCTAGCTGGTACAGTGTATGATGTTTGTTTTAGAAGATATTATGATGCAATAGGAAAGGTCACTGACTAGTTATAAAATCTGAGCTTGCATCCTGGATCTGCCACATAACTAGCTGTTTATTTTAGGGCAAGTCATTTAGTTTTTATATGCCTTCCTATGAAATGAAGATAATGAAGCCTCTCTAAAGTGTGTGGTCTGATGGGTTTCTTCTGCTTACTGGCAGATTCCTGCGGCATCACAGAGTATTACATGGCAAGAGACAGGGAGTATATGGCTGGACTCTGTCCCCTTCATTGTAAAATCTCTAGGATTCAATCAAGGAGGCTCCACCTTAATGACCTTATCCAAACTCAATCACTTTCAAAGAATCTGACACCATAATTGGGTCAAATTTCCACCCTGTTAACACTACAAGACTGATAAACCTCTACACCTTTGCTATTTCATCAAAGGTGTCAAAGACAAGTAATTTTCTAGAAAACACTTTTTCTGAAACCCATAAGACATCATGAACGTAAGGAATTAATGAACTAAACTATATACTTACTGGGATGAGATAACTCTTCAATTTATGGAATTTGAGGATCTTCTGAAACTGTCCTATATTTATACTATGTCAGGTAGGGGCCTGCAAAAAAAATTATTAATCAGGTTTGGAAAACTGAAAAGGCAAAAGGAAGCACTGATATATCACAAAGTGGAAAACTGTAGGAATCAGATACTACCACTAATGCTGGGGGGAGAAAAGAACAGGTTAGGATTATGAGAAGTTAGCAGTTTGGAGGAAGGACTCTACCCTCTGAGAAGTTACCGCAGCCCTGAGACTCGAATCTCTGAGGAGGAAGCACCAGCACATTCTTGTTGGCATCTCTGAGGGGCATTAGCTGGGTCCAGAAAGGTAGGGAAAATTGTAAGTTAGAACCTACTACTGCTAAGGAACCAACTTCTGCTGCTAGATGAGCATAATTATTATTTACAACAGGAGCAGCAAACCTACAAGGAGAAAGTCCCTTCTTCCTCTTCTAGCCTTTCCATCTTCTTCTTGAACTCCCTGCTGCAGAGCTGAGGAAGAACAATTGTGATGTGCAGAGAACATCCCAGCAACATAAGCAGAGTACAGGGGATAAGAGAGACTGCAAGTACAACTATTGCCCTTCTCTAGTCATTGACCCTTCTCTAGTCATTGAGAGTGCCCTTTCCAATGCACTACACTTCACAACATTCAGACTAACATTGTGCTATTGACATCCAAGGACGTATCATTTTACCTGTATTCAAAAACATCTTTTTGATGTCCACATCAAATTACCAATAGGTAATTGTAAACAAGCCCTTACTTATATAATCCCTGGATGCTTTGGGACTTGAGCTAGACTAAAAACATTGGAGTGAGACTCCATTGCCAAGAAAGATGCAAAACTTTCCACCCTTGATTTTCTATGCTTTTTTTCCTTCTAATTAAGAAAACCATAATTAATTTAAAGATCTCTGCAGTAATCTTAATAAAATGAACTTTAATGGGATCCCAACCCTTAATATTGAAGCTCTTTGCAAGAAAGAGCCCCAGATTTTAATGTTGTTATCAACAATGTATTTTTCACATCACACTGTGTCCTGTTTATGAGGACTCCTAAGAAAATTCCTGCCTGATTTTCACTACTGAGAAGAGATGTGATTCTGATGAGCAGTGAATCTGTTTTTATCTCATGGACTTTGAATTATGTAACTGACCACAATTTCTTCACTTAGTTGCTGGCAAGCTTACTGCCAAATTGCTTCCCCTGTGTTGTCTTTTGCCCCAATATATTTATGAGTGGAAATGATATGTACTTTTTGTTCTATTTCTGTCTACTCTTTGTCCCTGCTTTTATTTACTTCATTCTATCTTAATTTATGTTACTTTATCACATTTTATATAACCATGGTAAATCTTCTGCTATGCATCTGGGAAAAGGCAGAATATAATCAAACACATAAAAGAAAACAACTGAAGAGGAGTTTACATGAGTTCTTGGGGAAAGATATCTAAGATCAAGTAATGCAATCTCAAGTGATGTTCTAGGTAAAATAATTTTTAAAAAATTTTAAACTTAAGACTTTTGAAGCTGGCAAATTTGTACATCTTTATTGCTACTGCTACAGAAAATGTAATATGAAATAAGAACTAAGAAATAAGGAAATTTTACAGTTTATATATCATTAGTTTTATGTAGTGATTTTTATATGCTCTTGATTATTATTTATTATAAAGTATCATAGATTATTTTAAACAAGAAATCATTTTTTAAAAAGCTCTTCGGAAATGCAATATAACCTGAGGTATCATTTGATTATGTCTGGAATCCTAACTTTTTCTTCTATCAAAATATATTTCCATTTTATTTTTTTATTTTTTTATTTTTTTATTGGTTGTTCAAAACATTACAAAGCTCTTGACATATCATATTTCATACATTAGATTCAAGTGGGTTATGAACTCCCATTTTTACCCCAAATACAGATTGCAGAATCACATCGGTTACACATCCACATTTTTACATAATGCCATATTAGTAACTGTTGTATTCTGCTACCTTTCCTATCCTCTACTATCCCCCTTCCCCTCCCCTCCCATCTTCTCTCTCTACCAGGGAAATGTATTTCCATTTTAATAACAACAGAAATATGCTCTTGAAAGCCATCTTTGCTAGAATATTGTCTCTTAGTTGAGGGACATGATTGACAGGTAAATAGTAGAAGGCAATATTAGCAAAATGCATAGCAAATTTAAAAAGATTTTCCTGCCTTGCCAAAGTATCAGTCTTGCCTGGCCTATATGTCTCCCTGACTCCAGCTCCTGGTTAACTAGATCACAGATTCCTCTACAGAAGAAAGGAAAGGTCTTTAGCTGATAGCTTGGATTTCCAGGACTCATTCCCAGAAATATCCTGCTAAGAACCCTATATACTCCATCAGTACTTAGGAAGTATCTTGGCTAGATAAATACGTTAATGTCTCCCTACAAAATTCTTGACACTGTGTCATTTAATGTCTCTGAACCTCAAAATTCAAGGAAAACAATATCTGTCATTACAGATAAGAAAGAGACTGGCTCAGAATAGAACTCCAAAAGTGGTAGCTATAGTTATTATTATTAATAGTCTGCCATTTGGGTGGGGAAAATCATATATAATACATTCTTCTGGGATTCCAGTGTTATGGAATAGGGCAAAAAACTGTTTGGGAAAAAAAAAAAACCTGCTTTACAAGAAATCCATTGTTTTTAACTACTTGAGATCAAAGCCAATGGCCAGAGTTTGCATTGAAGAGACTGGTTCCTATAAATGGGTTAGCTTTCTGGAGTGCATGGGACAGTGCCCCTAGATACCTTCAATGACATTGCTGTGGTCCTTTAGGCACTGTGGCTCTTTACAAAATACCACATGAGAATCATTTGTTGCACTGGCTTTTTTTTTTAAATTGGTTGTTCAAAACATTATAATGCTCATGACATATCAGGGGAGGGGGGATAGTAGGGGATAGGAAAGATAGCAGAATACAACAGTCATTAATATGGTATTATGTAAAAATGTGGATGTGTAACCGATGCACTGGCTTTTGATGTTTGTGCTCCAGCTTGCTTGGTATCACATCTGAGAAGTGAGTTGTCCCTATTCTTCCTGATGGAAAAAGACAGGGACTGAGTCTGATACAGTCAAGGCTGTAATGGCAGTGGAAGGTTTGTTCTGTGTTTATAAATCATTATTCATATAGCACTTGGAGGACTTCCTAAAGAGAGCTCTGAAGTACTTACTGAGTAGCAATAGTACTTGAACGCTGAATACCCATCCGTAGGGCTGCTCTATCATCAAAAGGGCCATGTCACACAGATACATATGAGATCATCTACTGAGCAAAATGCAAAGTTCATCTTTCTGTGAATGTTATTGATGTTAAAATGTCATAAATGCTTAACATTCATCCTTCAGATTCTACTCAGAGCACTGCCCAGAATCTTCTCTGACCCCAACTATGCCCCCAGCAGCATCTTTTGCTGTGTTTCACCCCCTGTGTTGTAGATTATCTATACTACTCTCTTGTACCAAAATAGGAATTTCTTGATAACATGATTTCTGTCTGCATTTTTTTCTGTGCATAAACTAGCATACAGTAGGTTTAAAAATATGAGTTAGTTGATTTAAACAACCTGCTCAACCTGAAGGACAGCATGCACAGTGTTAGGAATGTTTTAATCAGTTGTTTTCCCCTCAGATTTGTTTACTGACATTTTAAACATAGAGAAGCTTAAAATGGATATTATAAGCACCAAGCCTAACCAACCGACTTTACACATAGTAGTCTGAGAAGCAGAAAGCTTGAACAATTATCTAAGTTCACAATTCTGACTCAGCACAGGCAGAATTGAAAGCAACTCTGTGACTCTCCATTCAGCATTAACAGATGATATGTAATAGATCATTACTTTAAGAAAACCCTTTCTCTAAATGTGTTTCTCTTGCTTGCCTATAGCAACCAAGGTTTCAGTGAAATTTCATCTCTTTTGTGGCACTCCAGAGGAACTGTGCCCTAGTTTCCTCTCTATCCCTCTCCTAAAAACTCCTTCATAGATGTCCCCCCTGCCAAAGAATGAAAGTTATTGAGGACTGCATTCAGTTTTACTATTTTAATTTTCTTTTCATTAAAATAAAATTTAAACTATTGTTGTTTTATCTCTTAATTTTTTTTGATAATTTTCTCTCAAAATTAGAGCTCACCCACCCAAAATATTGAAACAAAATATCAAAAAGCATTTGTGATAAAACTTATAAGTAAGATGTTTTGGTTAACTTTTCCTAAACTGAAAATTATTTATCAATCACAAATGGAAGAAATAAACATGATTTAATGGGGTTGTATTAGCTATATTAGAATTTCAATCTAATATAAAGGTGATGTGTTAGCTTTCCATTGCTGGGCCTAAATACCTAAGAAAATCAACCTTGAAAAAGGAAAGGTTTAGCCAGCCATGGTGGTGCATGTCTATAATCCCAGTAGCTCAGGAGGCAGAGGCAGGAGGATCACAAGTTCAAAGCCAGCCTCAGAAAAAGTGAAGCACTAAGCAACTCAATGAGACACTGTCTCTAAATAAAAATACAAAAAATAGGGCAGGGGATGTGGCTCAGTGGCCATGGGCCCCTGAGTTCAATCCCTGGTACAAAAAAAGAAAGAAAGAAAGGTTTATTTTGGCTCATGGTTTCAGAGATTATAATCAATGATCAGTTGGCTCCATTGCTTTTGGGTCTGCAGCAAGGAAGGATGTCATGGCAGAAGAACATAGTGGAATAAAGCTACTTTCCTCATGATGGCTAAGAAGCAAGGAAAGACAGGACCAGAGTGGGCCCAGTATCCTCTACAAGGTTACACTACAAGGTACTCCTACAGTGATCTAACTCACTCCCACCAGACCCTACCTATTAAATGTTCTACCACCTCTCAATAGTGCCACAGGCTGATGACCAAGTCTTTAACATGCAGGCATTTGTAGGCACTCTAGGTCCAAATCATAGAAGATAGGTAAATTATATATATAATTTGTATATATAATTATATATGATTATATACAAATATAATATATATACAAATTATATA